CAGGTGCACGGGGCTGAGGTGGGACAGGTGCACGGGGCTGAGGTGGGACAGGTGCACGGGGCTGAGGTGGGGCCGGTGCACGGGGCTGAGGTGGGACAGGTGCACGGGGCTGAGGTGGGACCGGTGCACGGGGCTGAGGTGGGGCCGGTGCACGGGGCTGAGGTGGGACAGGCACTCAGGGCTGAGGTGGGACAGGGGCAGCAGACCTTGTGACAAGAATTCAGGAGCCAGTGGCTAATTTGCAAAGGTGTCTCGGGGAGCTGGGAAGGGAGTGAAGAATAGTGGGGAGGGAAGAAGTCAATAGGGTGCATCACAGAGGTTACTCTGGGGGAGCTGCTCAGCCTCACTCATGCTGGAGAGCTGGAGGGGACAGTGAACATCCAACTGATTAGTCTCACCCAAGGGGCAGGGGGGCCGGGAGATCCACCCAACACCTCCCGTCGGCCAAGGCTGCTCTGGGGATGCCCTGACACATCCACCTCACTCCACGAGCAAGCTGAGTGGGGCTCTGGCGACCTGAGAAGCCCGCGGAGGGGTCAGGGTGTTGAAGGTGGGTGTGGATCTCTGCCACATCGCCCTCGTCCCTGCCATGATGGCTCCTTCCCATCCCCCAGGCCTTGGCCAACCGTTCGGACAGCACCCCAGCACAGTGGTCCTTCCCTGGCACTTCACCCTGCTTGCCCCCATTATACAATTGCCATCCGAATTCACACCTTTGTGGACTGTGTACTGATAAATTTACTTATGTCTTGCTTTCCTTGTCTACTGTCTTCCCCCCTTGAGAGTTTAATGCCAGGTCTTTCTTGTTCCCCACTGATTCCCCCAAGACACCTTCCACCATGCCAGGCTTCTAGTAAGTGCTCAATTAAATATCCTCTGAAGGAATACATTACTGTCAGTTCCAAGTTGGGAGTTCTGGATTCTGAGGTTCGTTCTATAGACATTTGATAGACGGGACCTCCGGGGCACTGGGAGGGGCAATGACTTGCCCAAGGTCATGAACTGGGGTGTCACAGCTGTACCCCTCCCCAGGAAGTAGAAGTCCTGTCACCCCACCCGATGCCCATCCCTCCGGGAACCCCACCAGTGGGAGGAGACGTTTTGGGAGTCCCTGGGGCTCCTTTCAGCTGCCTGAGAATTGCTCTCTGCCAGTTCTTGGTGGTCTCAGCCTCCTCCTCCCCCTACTTTCCCCAGCTGAAGAGGAAGCAGCTCAGACAGCTGTGGAGCTGGGACTCTCTCTAGTTGAGATGCATTAATTTGTAAATATCTTCATTTATATGTAAATGCGGAGTCCCGCGCCCTGCAGCCTGGAGACGCAGCATCCTTTAGCTCGCAGCTCTCCGCGATCTGCTTAGACTCCTTCCTTCCCTTCTGCTGTGGCCTCCTCGAGGCTCCTTTGCCCTGGTGCGCTCTGCCTGGGAGACCACTGCTGGAGCCGAGGCTGGGGAAGGAAAGGGCACTGGCCACACGTCAGCACTGCTGTGTGACCTTGGGCGAGTCCCCTCCCTGCCTGGGCCTCGGTTTCCTCGGTTGTAAGATGAGCAGGGCAGCATGGTGTAGGCTCAGGACGAGGCGGCGTGGGCTCTGATACAGTCTGTGTCATTCCAGCCACCAACCCCGGGGCAAGTCCCTTGACCTTGCTGCACTTTAACCTTAGCTATAAACCGGGGCTACAGGAAGCAGTAACATCTGCACGTGTATTTACAGGGTTTTTTCATGAGGATTCGAAGAGCCAGAGGACACATAAGGCGTCTTTCTTTATGTGATCTGGAAAAAGGTGAGGGTGTTTTATGGTGGAAGAAGGAGGGGTTTTTCTGGGCAAGAACGGCAAACATGCACCGCTCAGCGACTGTGGCAGCACTTTAATGTGGATTAACTGGGGGACCCTCGCAAGGCTGCTGGGAGCTGCTCATTATTGTCATCCCTTCTAGAGATCTGGGCAACTCAGGCACAGAGTTAGGGGGTGGAGGGGTCAGGAAGGGAACTCAGGCCCCAGGACAGATACCTCACTTAAATCCCACAATGATGGTGTGAAGCCGATCCGATTTTAAGTCTGCTTTGCAGGTGAAGAAACTGACACCAAGAGAGGTTGAGGCCCTCGTCCAAGGTCACTCAGTAGGAAGTGGCTGAGCTGGTTCTGAACCAGGTCATCTGGGACAGGTACTGGGGCTTGGCTCTGGGTGCTCCAGTGAGCATGAGAGGGTGGGGGACAGGGCTGGTCTGGTGATCTTGGGCTTTCTTCCTGGCTTAGGACTCCCGTAGGGTGCTGGAGATGAGGGGATAGGCTGGGGGAGGGCGCTTCTCAGAGACCAGGGTAACCATGTGGGGGTGGGGTGGAGGCTGCGGGTTTCTGGGAAGCAGTGGGGTGATCTGAGTGCTCACTTCTGCAGAACCATCTGTGGCTCCCAGGACAGTTATTTTCTTCTCCAAAATGAGGTTTTCATCTTGATTGTAACTGGCTGGTCTTAGGCGTGCTTTAATATTTTAAGGAGTCCCAAATCCTTTTTGGAAGCAGGTACAGGGGAAATCATCGACATGAATAAAGGCATCTGTGTGGCCATTTGCACGCCTCTTCCGCATCCCTCACGCCCACATGCTCACCAGATTCCCCCAGCAAGGGCTGGTTCTCAGCTCCTGGCACAAAGCCCAGAGAGGAGGGGGACCCAGAAAGGTCCTCCAGGGGAGCACACCCACCTTCCTTCTCACAAAGTGTGCAGGGAAGGGTCACCTGCCAGATTCCTTATGCAGGGCTGGGTGAGCCCTGTGCAACCTTCCCGTCCCGTTTTCTAATTTTATCCAGGGGGAAATTGAGGCCCAAAGGGCTGAGGAGCATACCCAGGGTCACCTCATCAGTGCGCAAATTTCACTGTGCACCTACTATGTGCCAGGCCTGCAGACCGCTGCTTTCTGCCTGGGCACCAGGCAAAGCATTTGGCTGTGTCATGTGGGAAAACGCACATACGTGCGTCTGTGTGCGAGACTGTGCACGTTCAGTGCCCGTGTGAAGCTACTTGTCATGAAGGCAGTGAGGCTACCCCGCATCTCATGGAGGGATGGGCACTAGAGGACCAGCAGCCATCTGGCTTTGGGGAACAGTCGCTCTGCTAGGGCGAGGGGCCGTCTAAATTAGGTGTCCCACAGGAGGGCATGCTTGAGCTGGGCTCTGAGGACTGATGAGGAGCTCACCAGGTCACCAGAGGGAGAGCGGCACTCTGGCAAATGAGTGGTAGGGGTAAGATAGGACTGGGGCCTTTTAGAGAGTACATGGAGCAAGTGCGCGGCCGTGGCACGCACAGATGGAGAACACGGCAGGAATGGAATCAGCTACCTTAGAGTCTTGTAGAAAAGGGGTAGGGGTAAACATGTTAAGTATCACCATCCCCAAGGACTCTTTCCTCCCGTCCTGCTGCCTCTTCTGACCCGGGGTCCAATTGTTTAAGGTCCATTTGCCTTGCTGGGCAGGGGCCTGTGGGGAATGGGAGAGCGTGTTCCCTGAGGCTTCTGAGCCCGGCAGAATGGGCTCAAGTCCCAGCTCCGTCCCTGCTGGCTGCAGGACATGGGGCACATTGCTCACCCTCTTTGGACCTTAGTGTCCCCTCCTGGAAACTGGGTTTGGACAACCCACCTCGCAGGACTGTTCGAGGAGCTGGCTGCGGGGGCTGATGTGGCCAGTCTGCTGCATGGGGCAAAGTTGTGGCTTGACCCCTCCCTGCTCTTCCCTTCCGGGGGGAGGCCCCTCGAGGCTCTGGGTTCCCCTCTGCAGCACAGCCTCCAGCCCTGCCTTCCGAGCCCCTGGAGGGTGACCCTGAGAACCCCCCAGAGCATCGCAGGGCAGACGATGGGAAAGGGCCGGAGAAGTGGCCCCCAGCGCCCGGCCCCTCACCTTACGGTGGACTGGTACACCAGGTCCTCTCTCTTGCGGTAGTTCTCCATGTGCGAGTAGTTGGTGGAGAACATGGCGTCAAAGGTAAAGATCTTCTGCTTGATGGTGCCGCCATCCGTCACCTGCAACAGAGCAAGAGACGGCTACAGGGGCGCACTCGGCCAGCCCCGGCCCTTTGCTCCAGACAGCGCGCGCGGCGTTGGGGGACACTGGGAGATGCAGAGGTCAGGATGCCCAACACCCCGGTGCCCTGGGAGAGGCCTCCAGGGGACATGTCACCGCCATTGCTAGAACCCTCCCCAGTCATCCCCACCCTACTGATGTGTAAACTGAGGCTCTGGAGGGAAGGGACTTCCTGAGGTCCTACACCAGGAAGGAGCAGAGCTGGCTCTTCTCCCCGGCAATCATTTCTGGTAAGTTCTGTCAGGGGTAGGCCCAGAATGGCAGGGGAGCCCAGGCAGGCAACCCCCATCTGACAATAGGGTCATCATAGGGGGCTTCCTGGAGGAAGCGAGGTCTAAGTTGCCTTCTGAAGGAAGAGCAGGAGGCGGCCTGGCAAAAGGTGGCCGTGCTCTGTAAGCAGAGGAGACAGCAAGAGCAAAGGCCCTGTGGTGGGAAAGAGCAGGTGTGCTATGCTCAGGGAAAGAAGATTGTGTTCAGAGTGCCCGGGGCAGAAAGGAAATGGTGAGAAACCAAAAGCGCCAGATCCTGGAAGGCCTGGGAGGCAGGGGAGCTCAACTGTCCCTGGAGGCAATGTGGTGGAGGTCACCTTGAACTCTATTTAGGGAGAGGCCTGTCTGGAGGCAGGGGGCCCTTGAGGAGACTGGGAGCACCCAATCTACTGACCTGGGGATGGAGCCCCTTGGACAGCATGCGGCCTCACCCTCTTCCAGGCTGCCCTTGGGACAAGCCTGCAGGGAGGTCATGAGGTCCCCACCTCCCCCTTGGAGCACAGAGGCCCGGAGAAGTGGGGGGACCTCAGGAGGTGATAATAAAGCCTGGGCTGGAAGACAAAGGCTGCCCCAGCGCCCAGCTGTTGACCGCTGATTAAAAGTCGGACCCAAGTGTCCTGCGCTCCTGGCTCGCCGCCCGCCGCAGCCTCCCCACGCCAGAGCTGCCTCCAGCTAATGAAAGTGTTACTCCACAAAGCAGCAAGGTATGTTTGTCACTGTTTCAATTATTTATCTGTTTACTCGGCTGCAGTTTTCCCTACAGTTTTCCGCCTGCGTCAGCAACTCTATTATAGACCTGGAGTTTGCAGCCTCTCGCGACTCAGCTGGGCTCCACACTAACAGCCTGCGACCAGGGAGGCCTCATGCCTGGGCCTGGAGAAGTGGAATTAACTCCCTGCAGCAATGCATGGTGGAGCCGGGGGGGGGGGGGGGGGGGGGCTGGGAGGGCGTTGGCCAGGGCCGGCTTTCTCCAAGGGGCTGGGCGCAGGGGGGATGCTGAAAGCTGCTTGGATCTGTAGCCTTCCTGAGGGGACCGGCCTGGGTGCAGCTGGGTTCCTCTGGACCCAAGCTGACTTGGACCACATCTGTCTGGCCTACGTGGCGTTGTGGCTGGTTTACGGGACACAGGTTCAATGCAATCCAAGCTAGCATTTATTGAGCACCAGCTGTGTGCCAGGCACGGGCCCACATCGGTATGTGTCACCTCCCCCCAACCCCCACCGTGGTCTGCAAGCTCATAAGGAGTAAAGAGGCCCCTAACAGTCCCGGGGGCCCCAGGGGGCCCCACAGGCAGGGTTGGAATGGTGATAAGCTCCAGGACCCTGTTGTGGGGAGATCGGCAGTAGGACTCCCCGCTGCATGGTTTCTCCTTACCCTCCCTAAGCTCATGTCCCTCTGACTCCTCCTGGGCTTCAGCTCATCCTCTTCACTTGTTTTCCCCTGTGGGGCTGTGTGCTCTCAGTTCGCCTCTTCTGCAGCTCGGGGACCCCTGGCTTCCCAGAGAGGGGACCCCGAGACTGGGGGAGGAGGGAAGAAGAGCAACAGAGCACCTTCAAACCAGGGCCCTTAGCGGGAGGGATGACTTTGCCTGCTCCCCAGGGGCCGTTGGGCAAGTAGTGGAACCATCTTTGGTGTCAGAGCCTGGTGGGACGGGGGTTTGGTGTGGGCCTCTGGCGGCAGGGGGCAGGGATGCCGTCACCATCCCTCGATGCACACGATGACCCCAAAGAATTATCTGGCCCCAGACGAGAAATGTGCCATCGCTTTGTGCGGACCCACGAGTGCCCCTGGGAAGTTAGTGCGACGCACAGCAGCTTGCCCATTTTGCAGATGAAGAAACCGTGCGTGGCTTGGAGAGGAAAGGAGATTCAGCCGAGGGCACATGCGGGGGGTTCCTGGCGCAGCTCTGGCTCCGGTGGCGGCGGCCCCCAGGGACTGAGGACTGGAGCGGATGCTCTTAGCACCCCCTCCACCCCCAAGCAGCCGGCTCCTTAGCAGGAGGACACCCGGAGCCCCGCGGAGTCTTGAGCAGTGTTCTCCCCAAGTCGTAAGAGTGGAAGGCGTCTTGCCCGTGTGACTTGCAGCCTTGCCTCCTTCAGGTACTGCTTTTTTATCTCCTCCTAAAATGCGGCAGCCCTTATCGTCCCAATCTCAAATTTCACTCCATTTTTTTTTATTATATAAAGGAGAAAAAAAATCTGTCCGTAAAACTGTCTCCTCAAATTTATTCACCGGGACCGAGGATTTTATTACTAAGAAAATACACCTGCACCCCACACGTCCACACACACCCACACACCCCAGATAAAGCAAGAAGAATGATCTGAGTCGTAAATCACTGTTTCGGGCCCAGGGACAGGGGAGTTTCAAGGACGCACCTAGTTTTTCTTTGGTTTTATTTACATCTTTTTTCCTAGGGCCGTGTCTGGGGCCTCCCTGTTAGCTTAGGCGTAAACCACTCCTTCCTGTTAAAGGGGCTCCAGGCAGCCCTGTCACTCAGCTGTGATAGCCCAGCAGCTGGCTCCCCACCCTCTGGGAGGGCTCCGAAAAGGGATTGCCTTGGAATTCACCCTCAGGTCCCAGGCCAGTGGGCGAGTGGCTATTCGCAAGGACGTTATTCTCTAGTTCTTGGCGGCGGCAGTCCCTGAGATGAGCCATCACAGGCTTTGGGGCCGTGGGCATGGTGAGCCACACCTTCTCTTTCATTCCGGAAACACTGCCCCAGACCTAAGACCTGCAAGCACCGGTCCAGGCCCCCTGGGAGAGGAAGGACCAGATTTCCAATGCAGTTGCAGCCTATCACGAGCGAGCTTACTTAAATGCAACCTGGTGGGGATGCATGGCCCACAGGTAACCAGGGAAAGCATCGCTGTAGCAGCAGATAGTTGCCAAGGGTTATCTGACGCCCACGGAGGAGCAAAGGATTCTTTTGGGGGGAGGGGTGATCACAGAAGGCTTCCAGGTGGAGGTGGACCTCTTTGAGAGTGCTCAGTCCCAGGCGGGTACTCCCCGCCTCTGGGAGACTCTGGAGCAACCAGGAAGGCTGATTTTCTCCACTCCCTGGAGAGTTCTTGATTCTGTTACTAAGTAACTTTGTGCACTTCATTTCTCCAAGCCTCTGCTTCCTCATCTGTAAAATGGGATACTGCGACCCACCTGTACCTCTCGCCAGGATTAAATGAGATGAGGTTTATAACAGCACCTGATGCGTGGTAAGCGCTCAGTACAGGCAGCTATTTCTTTCTTTCTTTTTAACGATTTTATTAATTTATTTGTCAGAGAGAGAGCACAAGCAGGGGGAGCGGCAGGCAGAGGGAGAAGCAGGCTTCCCGCTAAGCAAGGAGCCTGATGCGGGGCTCACCAGGACCTGAGCCGAAGGCAGACACTCAACTGACTGAGCCACCCAGGTGCCCCCAGACAGCTATTTCTATGCATAATAACAGTATTCTTAGCGATCCCTCTTCTGGGTCCCATGCCACCCTCCAGGGCTGGGACTGGAGGGCAGAAAAGCTCTTACTGGAAAGTCAGAGGATGCAGAATGTCTGTAAATGGAAGAAGGGGGCCACGCACTGGTTGCAAACATGAACTCAGATAACTATAAGAAAGCATTCAATGCGTATTAGCTGCTATTATTTGTTTTCACTTGGGTCAGACCCCGGCAAAGGCAGCAGGGGCACAGTAGGGGCTCGAGAATCCATGGCTCTCGCCCACCCCGACAGCACCTCAGCCATGACTGCCCGGGATGATCAGATGTGCTGCCTAGAAGGAATGGAGGAAGCAGAGACCTGGATTCTGTACCCCACCAGCTGGCCTCTGCACTGCTCCCCTCTCTGGGCCTCAATTTCCCTAAGCGCTCGATGCGAAGATTTAGGGCGGGGTGACCTCTGAGGACCATTTCTACTTTGAATGCCCACATGCTCTGATCCTGGAGACCACAGCTACTCCCACTCTGGCCTTATTCACCAGGGCTCAGCAGCCACCCACAGGCCCCGAGGCGGTGGACCCTGTCCCAGGACCCTCGCTGCCACCCCCCCCCCCCGCCAAGGAATCTGGCCTCAGCCAGGCTGGTTTAATTTTCCAGCGAAGCCCCCAAAGCAGGGCGAACAGACTTAGTCCAGCCAGCGGCACAGCATGGTTGGCCGGGGTTTTTCATTTGAAAACCAAATGCCTCCAACCGCACCTTTTCACCGTCGTCCCTGGGTGCTGTCATCCGGAGAGAGAGAGACAGAGAGAGACAGAGAGAGAGACAGAGAGAGAAAAGAAAGAAAGAAAGGGGGGGAAAATCACCTCCTCCACCCCCAACCTCCTTCTTTTTGTGTTCCACAAAACCAATTACAGGTTGGAAATAGCTGTAATAAACTTGATATCCCACTTATGGGCCAATCCCGCCGCAGCTGGAAAGGGGAGTGAAAACCGCTGGTGTATTTTGCTGGAGCTGTTTAAATTGCCTGCCTACATTATCCCGGCTCCTCTGCAGCCGGGAAGGAATTTGCTCTCCTGGAAAGGGAGCAGCTGAGGTCTCTGTGGCTGGGCAGCGAGGCGGGGGTTGTGGTGCCAGGAGAGTTTTTAATGAACTGATTAGACGTGGGAGCAGGGCCGGTGTCTGGGCTCTTGGAGTCGGGTGGCCTGGGTTCGAATCCCAGCCTAGGAAGCTGACAGGCAGTGTCCCT